TTGTTCGTTTCATCACTGCCTGGTACTCGCTTTCCCTTCTCTTTTCTTTCCTTCTTCATCTGGTTTTCCGGCGAAATAGGAATCTGAACTTGAGCAACAGGAGAAGTATTGTCGAAAAGTTCGCTACTTACTTTGAGACCAGCATTGGAACATGGTAGATTGAAAGGACAAGCTACGAAACATGCTGCATGAGTTTCATCCTAAACATTGGCATGCGTATGTTGGAAAAACGTATTGAAATTAAGTTGTGTAGTTGGCTGAAGCTAGTTTGCTCGTATTAGCATGTGCTCGTACTGCACATGATTTTAGAATGAGCCGAGGATTAGAACGAACATTTGATTAGATCCAGTACTCTAAATTTTAACCTTTGCCATATTGATGAACAGAATTTCCAGATTTCGAAATCCTTCCGTAGCTTTTCTCGTATGTTTTAACCAGCTGAAATGGAAAACTTTCACTTTACACTTAATTGTGTTTCCCCACTGGATGAGAACTAGGGTTTGTGACATGGTTTCCATCGAAAACACGAGTTCTGAAACTGATTTTTTCGTGTTCATACTTACCCCGTAAGTACATATTAGATGCTTCAGTAGATATGATATGAGAATGGTGATGATGATGATGTTGCAGGGTATTCTTCTTCATAGCAGAGGTGTGTTTACTCGCGGGTTCTGTGAGAAATGCATACCACACCAAGTACAGAGTCTACTTAGGCCGTCACTCCCCTTCCTGCAAAACCTTGAGGAAAGGAGTCTTTGGAGCCGGGGCCGCTTTCATTGTTCTCACCGGCATAATCTCGGAGCTTTACTATGTTGGCTATTCAAGAGCCAGGGATTTCCAGTCTCCTAGAGATCCCGGAATCCGGATGAGCAGCCTTTAGATACATTCTTCCTCAAATGGTGTGGTAGGTAGAATTCAGATCCATTAGGGTTTTCTTGTCGTTCTGAATTTGCATTGTCTGAACTTTGAATCAGAGTTTATGTGTTTGGCGTTCTTGGGGGTCAGTTTCTTCTCTTGTGGGTTAGAGCTTTAGGTATCTGTTTTACTGATTGCTTTTGTGTATCAGTTGCTTTTTTGGTGTGTTCTGGTACATATATATGTAGCCATTATCCCGTGTCCGACGTTACTTGCAGGAGAAGCAACTCTGGGTGAGAGCAGGTTTCAATCTCCACTGGAGAAACCTTCTTCTGTAATGGAAATAGGGGTTTTGTCCTGATGGTCTTTTGACTGTGGCAACGATATGCGTAAAATCATATATTTACATATATATACACACACCCCCATTGGAAAAGAAAAAAAAACCCTAAGCTCCCTTGTCTAATTACATTTTCAGTACGCGTGAACAGATTAAACAAGAAACTGATCATCGAACCCAAACTCAAACTTGTTCCGCAACATCATCGACGACGGCGACGACGGGATTCTCGACCATGGCTTGTTCCGCAACGTCTTCGACGACGACGACGATGGGATTCTCGTCCGTGACTCCTTCGACGTTATCATTATCATCGAAGTCGGCATCCTTCTTCATAACGCACCAGCCTTTGCCACTGACAGAGCTGCGGCAGTTAGGGCAAGTCGGGTTCCTTGGGAGCCACCGATCGATGCAGGACGGGTGGAAAAGATGATGGCATTTGGATAGACAGATAACCTTATCCTCAGGCACATAGACTTCGAGACAGATGGGGCAACAAGTCTTGTTGGCTCCTCCTTCATCATCTTCTCCTCTCACCATGACGTCCTTGAACTCGTGGATCATCTTCGGAGTGATGGCGACTTCTGGGTATGGCGGAGCAGAGAGCCGTCTCGGAGGAAGAGCCATCTCGATGTCAAACGAAGCTGGAGGACCAAAAGCAAGTGTGGATGATGATAATGCGGCGTTGAAATTAGCCATCTCAATGATGCGTGAAACTCGCTGTCGTCTGGCGGCGATTTGATCGGCGGTCTCGATGTCCATGTGGTCGGATTCCTCGATGCAGTAGAAACAGTAGTAGAACCAGAAGAAGAAGCAACATGAGTAAACGATTGTGAAGATCGTTACAGCCGCAAGCCACCACAGACCGGCGTGCTCAAGCACAGGATTCATGGCGATCGATCAGAGAGAGAGAGAGCGGAGAAGAGAAGTCTGCGGAGTGAATCCCCTCGTCCCATTATATATATGTAATTAATTAGGAAGAGAAATGGAAACTATCTTGAATAATTGTAAACTCTCACACTCTCTGATGATTCTAACCGTTGGATCTTTCCTTTTCAGAGAAATGGAAAATTACATTCGAATTGTTAAATTTTGAATTTTTTAAAAAATACAAAGCAAATATTTAATCTCACTAATAAATAAATATATGTATATGTATTTTGTATTTTAACCGTGAGATCTTTCCTTTTCTCTCACCCACAGCGAAATGGAAAATTAAATTAGCATTATTATACATTTTGAAATTTTAAACCCCTGACTAAAAAATTCACGAATAATATACGGTTTCACCAATAAATAAATAAATATATGTGTGTATATATACACACACGAACACACTGAATCAAATTTTAAACTTTGCAAGCACCCAGGACCGAACATGATGAACCCTAAAGTTGTCTTCCCCTACCAGATTTATGTTAATTATCAAGTAGAGCATCGCCGTCTCCGTTATTGTCGCCGCCGCCGTGACGAGAGTCGTTGGAGATACGGCCGAATAGAATCTCCAGCGATTCTTTCTGGCGAAACCGAATCGACGGAAAGAGGTAGAATTCAATCGGATTCGTGTGGTGAAGCGGTCGATGAAATTGGGGATTTTTATGTAAAGGGAAGAAGATTGGGTGATGGTCGGAAGAAATGCAGAAACTCTTGCCGAGGAGGTGTTCGACCAAATTTCTGGCAATCTATACTTTTCGGTGGCCCTTTACACTTGGCCGTATCATTTGCCTTCTGTGTGCAATCGTTAAGAGTTTCGAAGAAGAAAAACTTCATTTTTATGTGTTGCATCATCGAGTAGTATGCCAGGTTCGAGAAAGTCAATGTCATGGAAATCCAGAAAGCAAGCCACAGTATCGTCCGAATACAAGGCAATGGCACAAGCTTCATGTGAACTCATATGTATATCCACGCCTGCTGTCCATTCAATTCTCCACTCCGGTAACCTTGTGAATCCGGTTTTCACATACTCAACAATCCGGTGCACTACGAACAAGGTCCATCTGTTGAATTTTGGTTAAAAATACGTATTAAAGCAAATTATTGCAAACTCAAGAATACGTTCAAACATATACAAACAAATATATTCCATAAATGTTATTAGAAAAATGATAAAGAGATGATATACACAATACAATCCTTTGTTTATTATTATTATATTTTTATTTTTGTACTCCCTCTCATCCATTGTGATTCACAAGCAGCCTTATGAATTAAAAACCAAAAACTTAAAATAAAAACAAAAGGCGCCTAAGAATTTGCACTTGTTTGTTCTAAAGACCATAGAGTATACACTCTGAGTAGGAATACTGACTATAAATCCTTGAATAAATGGAAAAAAAAAAAACAATTTCCTTGTCGATTTGAATTTTCATTAAACAATAAACTAAATAATCTTTCAGGCTAAAGCTCCAACTTGTTCTGCAACATCTTCGACGACGAGATTCTGGTCCATGTCTCGTTCTGCAACATCCTCGACGACGACGGTGTTCTCGGCCATGACTCCTTGGACGGTACTACCATCGGTCGCGACATCCTTCTTCATAACGCACCAGCCCTTGCCACTGGCCGGGCTGCGGCAAATAGGGCAACTTAAGTTCTTTAGGACCCACCGCTCGATGCAAGCAGGATGGAAAAGATGACGGCATTTGGATAAGCAGACAACCTTGTCCTCAGGCACATAGACTTCGAGACAGATCGGGCAACAAGTGTTGGCTTCACCACCTTCTCCTCCCACGACGTCTCTGAACTCGTGCACCATCCTCGGAGTGATAACTTCCGGACATGAAACTGGAGCAAGACGTATCGATAACGTCAGAGGAAGAGCCATCTCGATGTCGTTGTCGGATTCGTCGGATTCAATGTCGGATCCGTCGGCTTCGTCGGCTCGATGTGTGCATGCATAGTATAAACAGTAGCAACACGTGTAGATCATTACGGTGGCCAACGAAGACAGAAGCCACAGATAATTCATGGCGATCGATGAGAGAGACAGAATGATGTTACATTGGATACGTAAATCTGAAAGAAAGCAGAGCAAGTCTATGCATGAAGTGATTATTATGAGCCCTAATCGCTTTATATATAACTCGGACTAGGATTATATTAGGGGTAAATTATATTATGATTATATGACTCGGTTAGATATTTCCTTTTTTTGCCACAAAGAAAAAGGAAAATTGTATCAAGATTGTAAATTTTTCGTTTTTTCGAAACCGGAACATTAACAAATTCTACGAAAGTCGTATTTGTTTCCAAAAATACATCTTATTTATAAGAATTTATAATTTTATAAAGAAATAAAACATACTCTAAAAAATTAGGGGTGGACCTTTCGCGATTCGTTTTGAAATTAGCGGTTCGGTTTGGGAACGATTTATTCGGTATTCTAAAATTTGTATCAAATCAGTACCGTATATTATTATGTTCAGTTCGGTTTCTGTTTCGGTACGTTTCGGTTTCGATTTTTGTTAAAAAAATTCGATTTTCTAAAGAAAACTTCTGTTTTTTGATAATTTTATAAAGTTCGGTTCGATTTCGAAAAATCCGTTTCTATAAAAACACACCATTCGGAAATATTGAATGGTAAGGTTCGAAAAAAAAATACCGAATTTTTTGGTTTTTTATGATTTGATTATAAGGAACCGAACCAGACCGCTTACCCTATTAAAAATAACCAAAAATCGCTTAATTACGGCCAAATTTGGGCATAGCCCTTCACAGTCCAGAATCCATATCTCTAGCTCTTTATGTCATCTGCATTTTTCTTGGTTGCGAAAACCCATTTGACTCCTTTGGTCTGTTAACCAGAATCCATGTCTGCATCTTTTGTACCACGTGCGACTATCTTCTCTTATTGCATTCCTCCGATCTCTTATCTCCGCAGTCTTCTTGATAACTTGATGGCTCCAAGACATGGACATCGCATCTTTGATATATGTATCGTTCCATGTTCTGGTGCATCAAACAGTGCATGATCAATTTGCTCGACGTCACCTTTTTCAGATTCAGGTTCAGAATCCTCTGCATCCAACACTACAAAAAAAACATTAAATTCCAACCGGCAGATCCGTTGGAAAGGGCCGAAAATCCGTTGGAATTCAACTTTTCCAACGGATTTCCAACGGATAAATCCGTTGGAATATCGTCGTTAGAAATCGGTGTCCGTTGGAATTCCGTGGCAAATTCCAAACGGAATTCCAACGCCCTCATCCGTTGGAATATTTCAACGGATTTCCAACGGTTTTTCCGTGGTATATTTGCAACGGAATTCCAACGGATTTGTTCGTCGGTATATATCAACGGAAATTCCAACGGACATCCGTGGCTATTTTCCGACGGGACCGTTAGAATATCCGTTAGAAATTTTCCAACGGATTTACAACGGTATTTGCCACGGATATCCGTTAGAATATCCGTTGGAAACGCCGTCGAAATGTTACAACGGTATTTACAACGGAAGTCCGTTGGAATTTAGAATTATTTCCAACGGGGGTCCGTTGGAATTGCCGTTGGAAAACACAAAAAAATAAATAAAAAAATAAAATAAATATTTAAAAATAAAATAAATAAAAATATTTATTTTATTTTTAAATATTTATTTTATTTTTTTATTTATATTT